GTTTTTTGAGTTTTTTTTGAGATGGAGTTTTGCTCTTGTTGCCCAGGCTGGAGTGCAATGGTGTGATCTCGGCTCACCGCAATCTCTGCCTCCTGGGTTCAAGCGATCCTCCTGCCTCAGCCTCCCAAGTAGCTGGGACTACAGGCATGTGTCATCACACCCGGCTAATTTTGTATTTTTAGTAGAGACGGAGTTTCTCCATGTTGGTCAGGCTGGTCTCAAACGCCCAACCTCTGGTGATCCACCCGCTTTGGCTTCCCAAAGTGCTGGGATTACAGGCGTGAGCCACTGTGCCCAGCTTGATATTAGTTTCTTAAATGTTACTTAGGCTGGTGGTAGAAACATCTTCACAAAGGCATATGATATACTAATTTTTAAAATTGTACTGTGGCATTTCAGTTAGCTATTGCCACAATAATGCTGATTAACAATCATAAAATCTAAGTGGCATACAAACATAAGCATTTATTTTTTGCTCATGAGTTTGTGGGTCAGCTGACATTGCTCAGCTCCACTTGATCTTGTCCTTTTCCTGAGACTAGTACACTCATGATGTTATGGTGGCAGAAGCCCAAGAGGCAAGTGGAAACACTAAGACTGCTTAAGGCAGCAGGGCCTGGTGGCTCACACCTGTAATCCCAGCAGTTTGGGAGGCTGAGGTGGGCGTTATCACTTGAGCTCAGGAGTTTAGACCAGCCTGGGCAACATGACGAAACCCTGTCTCTACTAAAAATACAGAACATTAGTCAGGTGTAGTGGTGCACGCATGGGGGGTCCCAGCCACCTGGGAGACTGAGCTGGGAGGATTGCTTGAGCCTGGGAAGCGGAGGTTGCAGTGAGCTGAGGTCGTGCCACTGCACTCTAACCTGGGTGACAGAGTGAGACCCTGTCTCAAAAAAATAAAATAAAATAAAATAAATGAAGACTGCTTAAGGCTTGGCGTACTATGACTTTTGCCCTCGTTATGTTGGCCAAAGCAAGTCTTGTGCTTGAGCCCAGTGACAAAGGTGAGGGAAGTATATTCTATCTATAATAGGACAAGCTGCAGACTTAAGTGATAAAATCATAGATACAGGAAATGGTGAAGAATTAGGGCCAATGATGCAGACTGTTGTATATGGAAAATTGAAAACATTTGTATAAGTACAGTGAAGAGTATAATGATCCCTCATGTCCCTATCCAGTTCAGCAATTATCAACATGTGACCAGTCTTTCATTTATGTTTATGTAGTGCATCACAGTAAGATAGTTACATATGTCTGGTTGTCTGTTTTTGTATGTTAAGCTGCATTGGTTGATTCAGATATTACCAACTTATCCATCATTATCAGGTTTCTCGTTAACCTTTTACCTAATGGTTTTAATAGCCACTGTTTTTCAGTGCTTCTCAAACATCTGTAGTGAAGACCATTTAAAAAAAATTTCCAGTACCGAGGACTGCTACTTTTGTAAAATACAATATATTTCTAGACAAATGAAAATATAAAATCTAATGTATTTTAAAAGCCCCCGATATTTATTATAGATGCAACAGAAATAAAATTACTTTGTCAACTTGTTATACAAATTTATGGATGCTTATGTAAAACTTATGTGTTCTTTTTTTGTCATGAACTGGTAACAGTTTGCTTAAAAATGTTCCTTCGCTAACTATGTGGTTACTCTGGTAGAGTCAGAATACATGCTTGATTCATTCTCATTATCAGTGTTATTTTACCAATTTTGTAAATAGTTTTTTCAGGTTTTATTCATTATTTCCAATGGTGCAATTAATGTATGCTGTATAATAGAAAGGGTCACATGTAGAAAAGAGACTGGGTTTATGAAGTACAAAATAGTAACAGCTTGAAAAATGGACCACATACTACCTACATACTAAACACTTGTGAAATTGTGACACTCCATTACTTAAAGTTTATTTTTTTCTTTTTGTTTTTGAGACAGAGTCTCACTTTGTCACCTAGGCTGGAGTGCAGTGGCACTATCTCAGCTCATTGCAACTTCTGCCTCCTGGGTTCAAGCCATTCTCATACCTCAGGCTCCCAAGTAGCTAAAACTGTAGGCGCAGGCCACCACGCCTAGCTAATTTTTGTATTTTTAGTAGAGATGGGGTTTCACCATGTTGCCCAGGCTGGTCTCAAACTCCTGAGCTCAAGTGATCCACTCGCCTCAGCCTTCCAAAGTGCTGGGATTACAGGCATGAGCCACTGCGCCTGGACTAATTTATTTCTTAAGGAAAAAAATGTATAAATATCTTAAAAATACTTTAGGAATAGTGATCATATGATAATCAAAATTAAGAGTGTTCACAAATTCAGTATATTTAGAAAAATATAGCCCTTTGATTATCTTTCATCTCTTCATAAAAACTGTCTTGTGTTTTAAGGTCATCTTTAGTACACTGATAGTATGGGAAGATGAACTGAAGAGAACGAGTCAGAGTTTGGGTATACATCTGTATTGTTTTCATTTCTTCGCTTCTTTGCAAGATACCTTTGGTTCTTCATGCAAGCAGGCTACACATGTGCACACACTTGAAATCACCTTCAAAAGTAATTTTTGTTGAAATAGTAGATCTCCGTCACCACAGGAATGCAGAGTGAGTCAGGACAACTAAAGGTGAATGTAAGAAAAAACCAAGGAGTTTAACAGAACAGAATTGATCAGACTGAACGCAGTTCAGAACTTTTTGTTCTAATATTTTAATAATTTGACGACAGTTTTTACTGAATGTTGACCCTTTTCAAGATTGTGTACGTTGCCAACTTTAGGAAACAAGCAGATTGATTCGGGCTGATTGATACTGGTTTAAACCTACCCAAAGATAACCTTGTTCCTCAGTTGGCTAATGCTTGTTATTGAATAGAAAAACTAGCTATAATGAAGATTTTAGGGATTTAAATATCACGAGGCAGGCCGGGCATGGTGGTTAACACCTGTATTCCCAGCACTTTGGGAGGCTAAGGCGGGTGGATCACCTGAGGTCAGGAGTTCAAGATCAGCTTGGCCAACATGGTGAAAACCTGTCTCTACTGAAAATACAAAAATTAGCTGGGCATGGTGGTGCACTCCTGTAATCCCAAGTACTCAGGAGGTTGAGATAGGAGAATCACTTGAACCTGGGAAGGGGAGGTTGCAGTGAGCTGAGATTGCACCACTGTACTGCAGCCTGGGCAACAGAGTGAGACTCTGCCTCAAAAAAAAAAAAAAAAAAAAAAAAAAAAATCACGGGGCAAAGAACAATATACTTTCATTTAGTCAACAGTGCCAACTTTTAGTTATCTGAGAACTGGTCACATACGTATATTGTGTCAACAAAATAATATTGCCTTAACTTTCTGGAAAGACAAGTCTTACGATAATTGAAACTCAAGGGGAAAATAGGCATTGATTTCAAAGGTTAAAAAATCCGATTAGAAATTGTGGCCCTGAACCAACTTTAAATTTCCGCTCAAATTAGAAGAAAAAGATAATAGAGAATTGTTCTATTTTCTTACCCCTAGTGTTCATAATGTACAGATTACATACAGTAGAACTGTATTCATTTGACCTGAGAAGATAGAATTCGTCCACCCAATTCCATGGTTTGGGTATGTGTATGGGGTTCTGGCTGTCTTTAGGTGGGTGCTAGAACTGGTATCTAAGTTAAAGCTAAATTGCTTTTTAGTTCATTGATTTAGATAGTATATTCAGCTGTTCATTATATTCTGGGATGGTGCCCACATGAACTTGAAAGGAGCTATTGGCCCCTTGTGATAGGGTAGAAGAGAGTCTGGATTACTTTGAAAAACTAAGAGATGTGTTTGGTTAGCAAAAGAAGATGAAACTGCAGTCAGAAGTACAAACTGGTTCAGTTAAGGAGAAAAAATAATTGAATTTGAAACAATATACATAACAGGTAGAAACTAAGTAGTCTTTAATGAATACCTACTAGCTTCAAATCTCATTAGGGAAAAGAGTTTTCTCAGTGTATGAAGTTATTAACCAAGAGCAGTGAAAAGCTGAGATAACATTATATGTCAGTAGAGACTTGTATTTCCCAAACCTATCGAACATTGAAAACTTAAACATAATATTGAAGGCATTCCCATAGAATCCTATGTGTTGTGTGCTCAGATTAAAGGAGGGAGTGAAAGTGAACTCAGATGAATTAAGTGATTGAAATTTTTGTTTATATTGTTTAATAGCTACACATTTGTTAGTATAAGACCAATGGAACAACAGTGGTCATAATTTAGGCAACATGAAACAGTTGGTAATTGGTAAGCATTGCTTATATGACCAAATGTAGATCTAATACTGTGCATTATTGCATCAGGGTATGTCTTGTGACTTCCAGATTTTTTCTCAGGTACAAACACAGTTTTCTAAAGGCATTTTATACATTTGTTACCTAAAATGAACAACCGTGTAACTGTCATCTATACCTAGAATTTTTTATCAGAAGTATTTCAGATTTTGGATTTCAGAGTATTTGTATTATACTTGCTGTTTGAGTCCCACTAATCCAAAAATCCAAAATGCACCAATGAACATTTCATTTGAGCATCATATCAGTGCTCAAAATTTTTCAGGTTTTTGGATTAAGGATGTTTAACCTGCATATAGAAAGAGACTTATTTAGACAAACTTGAAAGACTCATGTTCTACTTACACGTGGGTTTTCGATTTGTTTTGTTTTTTGTTTTGAGACAGAGTCTCGCTCTGTTACAGCCCAGGTTGGAATGCAGTGGCATGATCTTGGCTCAGTGCAGCCTCCGCCTCACAGGTTCAAGTGATTCTAGTGCCTCAGCCTCCAGTGTAGCTCGGATTACAGACATGGCTGTTCTATGGGAAATCTTGAGACACACTGGGAATCTCTTTCCCTAAAGGAAAAGCTTTTCTGCAACTGTATGTAACTCAATATGAGTAACAATTAACAATGGCAATAATAGTTGTGTCATTGGCCTAGTGGAATTTTAAGATATATTGTAATTTCAGAGATGCCTGGCTGCTTTCACTTGGCAAGTTTGAAATGATTCATTACTGTTTTGGGGATTTTTCAGCCAGAAAAGACAGCATACCACTCTGGAGCTATAGAGAATTTTAAGAGCAGTTTTGGCTAAAGAATATGCCAGGTTCTTACAGGTCTTGGGAAAAATTTGAGCTTTATTGAACATTCTAAGAGGAAGTCACTGTAAGGTTTGGAGCAAAGGGAAGATTTGAATCTGATTATTTTTTTCTTTCTTTTAAGCACGCTGGCATGTTATCCAAACTCAGTATCACCAGTAATGGAACAAAATGACATTGTGTCTTTGCCATTGTATCACATCAAGAGGAGGAATGATAGCATTACCAATGTAAATTTCTTGTTAAATGTTGATCTAGAATCTGATCATGATACAACAAAGAGATCCAGTGTGGGACATTCTACAAAAAGCTGGTCTGATCTTTAAAAAAGGTCAGTGCCATAAAAGACCATACAAAGGTGAGGAGTGAGTAGTTGAAGGAGGCAGTGAATGAAAATGTGTGTGCTGTGTGTGTGGTCCTTGATAGATTTTTTAAAAAACCATAGATTTTAAAAAAAACCATAAACACCTTGTTTTCAACAATTGGGGAAACTTATATGTAGATAATTATCAGTTTTAACTTTCTTGGATGTGATAATGATATTGTAGTTACATAGGAGATTGTCCCTGTTTGTAGGAGATGCATGCTGAAAAGGTTTTGGGGGAGTGAAAGGTATACAGTTTATTTTTAATTCCTTCAGGTGGAAAAAGTGTATGTAGATGGAAATAAAGCAAATATAGCAAAATGTTACTGATCATTGATATAGATGAAGAGTGGTGTTTATTATACCAAACTTTCAACTTTTCTTTAGGTTAAAATTTTTAGAAATAAAAAGGGATAGGGTAGAATAAGTACATGGTAAGATAACAGAACTGCAGAGTCTTAAACTTTCTGATTTAACACTTTAGTTTAGGTTCCAGCTTCATTCAGTGTTACATGTGAGATGATGGCCTCTTATGAAAAACCTCAGTAAAGTTTATCAACATTCCTTTTTTTTAATTATTAATTTTTTTTTAAGAGATAGGATCTTGCTGTATTGCTCAGACTAGTCTACAATTCCTGGGCTCAAGTAATCCCCCCACCTTAGCCTAAAATATGTGTGCTTTTAATCTAAAATACCCAAAGGTTTTTTATTTTATTATTATTATTTTTTAATCCAGCAATTTTGCTGGAGTATGTCTTAGGGTTGGTCGTTCTGAGTTCATAGACTAATGTTGATTCATGTTCTCTCTTGCTTTGTGTAATTTTTAAAGTATCTTTTAGCTCCTATAGAAATGGTATATTCTGGTTTTGATCTGAGGATGTCTTTCTGGCTTACTGTCATAGAGACATCATTCTGTTCTTTATTCCTTCTATTTTTAATTTTTATTTTTTTTGAGACAGGGTCTCGCTCTGTCACCCAGGCTGGAGTGCAGTGGCAAGATTATGACTCACTGTGGCCTCAACCTCCTGGGCTCCTCTCACCTCTGCCTCCCGAGTAGCTAGGACCACAGGCACGCGCCACTACTCCCAGCTAATTTCTTTTTTTTTTTTTTTTTAAGACAGAGTTTTGCTCTTGTTAAGGCGGGAGTACAATGGCGTGATCTCAGCTCACTGCAACCTTTGCCTCCAAGGTTCGAGCGATTCTCCTGCCTCAGCCTCCCAAGTAGTTGGGATCACAGGCATGCGCCACCATACCCAGATAATTTTGTATTTTTAGTAGAAATGGGGTTTTACCATGTTGGCCAGGCTGGTCTTGAACTCCTGACCTCACCTGCCTTAGCCTCCCAAAGTGCTGGGATTACAGTGTGAGCCACGGCACCTGGCCTAATTTTTGTAATTTTTGTAGAGACAGGATTTCTCTATGTTACCCAGGCTGGTCTTGAACTCATAGGGCTCAAGCGATCTGCCCACCTCCACCTCCGCCTCCCAGAGTGCTGGTATTACAGGCTTTAGTCACAGGGACCTGGCCTCCCTTCTTCTTACTTTTAGTAACTTTGTATGGGATTTAACTTCTATACTTTGTTTCCTTTTTATGTGAATTTAGTTTTCCTCAACTTTTAGAAGGAAGCTAGTCAAGATAATGTTTCTAACTTTATATAACTCCCTCTTCTGTTAAAAAATTATGGGGCCGGGCGCGGTGGCTCAAGCCTGTAATCCCAGCACTTTGGGAGGCCGAGACGGGCGGATCACGAGGTCAGGAGATCGAGACCATCCTGGCTAACACGGTGAAACCCCGTCTCTACTAAAAAATACAAAAAACTAGCCGGGCGAGGTGGTGGGTGCCTGTAGTCCCAGCTACTCGGGAGGCTGAGGCAGGAGAATGGTGTAAACCCGGGAGGCGGAGCTTGTAGTGAGCCGAGATCCGGCCACTGCACTCCAGCCTGGGCGACAGACCGAGACTCCGTCTCAAAAAAAAAAAAAAAAAAAAAAATTATGGCACTTGTTTTCTAAGGATTCCTGGCTCTGTCCCTGTGCCCCATGTTAGTCTGTTCCTTCTCCCTTTTTCCTGTCCTGTTGATTTTGATTCATCTCCCAGCAGTGACTCTTCATAGCAGGCCCTCTCCTGGAAAGGATCTCTGACTGGTTAGTGTCAAGGGTTCATGGGGGTTAAACTCCTCTGGCCCCTTTATGCCTTACCTTGGGTTCCCTATTACTTGTGTATTATTGGTGTGGACAAACCTCCTTCTAGTGCGCTGCAGTTCTCTAATTGGCTGCTGTGCCTTCTGGCTCATACCTCTTGGGTGTTGAGAATTCTCCTGTTTTCAGGTCCTTTAATAAGGCTGGATTGCTTCCCATGTAGGTGCTATAGCACTAGGGTTTGTGACTGTGGTAGTCTGTCACCACCAATTTGTATTTTGGGGTTCTTGTAAAGGTCATTGCTATCTAGTTGTTCAGTAGTTATGTGGGATCCAGGAAAATCCCAAAACATTTCCATCTCTACTTTTCCAGAATCTGCTAGATCTTCTTGCCCGATTCTTAAAGAGTTTGCTGTATATGGTTTAGTTTTTTCCTTAATATTTTTTTCTTGGTATCTTAAAATATATCTTTATGAATATTGCCTACTTTATTGTGATGCACTCAGGGCAGTTGAGGGATAGTCACCTTAAGTCTTTAGGCATTTGTCTTTTTAATAACTTTATGTAAATAGATGTGGTAGATTTTTCTGTCTTGTGATGCTGAATTTTATTTGTCTCTGCACTGATGTGACTAAGTTTCTTTTTCTCATTAGGGTGGTTTTTCTAATCTCTTGAAGTCCAATTATCAAACTTTTCAACTGTGTGTGAAGTGGGAGTAAATAAATTCCAGGTTTTGAGGGAGAGGAACTTTGCCTTTACTAGCGGGAGCCTTTTTGCTTTCTCCTGAATCGTCAAAGCTGTGACAGTTGCTGTATAGGCAAGGTCATACCCAAGGTAGAAGGAAATAGGGCAAGAATTCAGTTTCTTTAGTAACCTCTTGTGGCACAGAATTGAACATTTATTGCTAAGAAAACAGGAATATTCTTTTAAAATACCTTTTTTGAGTAAAGATTAGTTTACTTAAATACAGGCAGTCCTTGCTATGCAGGATAAGTAAAACGACTAAAAATAATAATGCAAGCTGAAACCATGCAAAGCAATTTTAATAGTCAGTGGGAAAATTACAATTGTTTTGTGATCTTTAAAAATTTTTGTTAAAACACTAAAATCTTTTGTCAATTACAAAAGTATAGGGGAACAAAAAAATAAAACTACTGTTTATTACAGTGTAACTTAAAATACTAAGAACATTGAGAATTAAAGTATTTTATTTCTTTGTAAAAAGCTTGCCAGTAGTAGTTTCAATAGTAGTTTAAAGAGTACTTCTCTGTGTCTTTTCTGTGCCTTGGTTGCTTCCAACATTTTATCCTTTGCACTTTTAATGTCATGAAATGTCCTAGAGTTTCTTTAATGTGAACTATTTTCCTGGAGTCACTTCCTCTGGGACGTTGCCATTCTTTCCATCACAACCAGTTTCCTCACTGATGTTGATAAGTTCTCTGGCTGTATATCTAGAGGCCCCGAAACCTTGTCAGCCTTGCCATAGTCAGCATTTTCTTCTATAACTCCAGATATTCAAATTTCGCTCCAGTATTATCACTTTTCATTTCTTTGCTGCACTTTCATCTTTGTTGGCCAGCCCCGTTTGGATTATCTGTATTTGTTTTTTTGTTTTTTGTTTTTTTTTTTGAGACGGAGTCTCACTCTGTTGCCCAGGCTGGAGTGCAGTGGTGCGATCTTGGCTCACTGCAACCTCTGCCTCCCAGGTTCACACTGTTCTCCTGCCTCAGCCTCTGGAGTAGCTGGGACTACAGGCACCCGCCACCACGTCTGGCTAATTTTTTGTATTTTTAGTAGAAACAGGGTTTCACTGTGCTAGCCAGGTTGGTCTTGATCTCCTGACCTCGTGATCCGCCCACATTGGCCTCCCCCAGGTGCTGAGATTACAGGCTTGATTGAGCCACCGTGCCTGACCAGATTATCTGTATTTGTAAAGTCCTTTGAGGTTTATCACTGTAAGACAGGCAACACACTGCACTCTTGGCTGTTTGTTGTCCAGTGACCAATCACCAATAGAATGAAAGAAGGGAGGTGATTGGTCACTGATCCTGATGTTCATCTGTTATTTACATGGTGGTGTGTGGACTGAAGAGCTGGCAATGAAGTTTGTCCTTTATGTAATTACTTACAGTAATGTATGATAACTGAAATTTGAGCCATGTTGTTGGGGACTGGTAATTAAACCTTGGTATAAACCATAGTAATTGAAATTTGTGCATATTAGGATTATGCAAGTCAATAACTCCGCCTGTAATGTAAAAAAGCATACTTAGATTTGGTAAAAACGGTAAAGATAGTAATGGGACTGAGTCTGAGAAATTTATGCAATAATGTAGTGCTTAAAAATATTTTTTAAAAAGTTAAGATTATTTTGAGATACGTTCCATCAATACTGAATTTATTGAGAGTTTTTAGCATGAAGGACTGTTGAATTTTGTCAAAGGCCTTTTCTGCATCTATTGAGATAATCATATGGTTTTTGTCTTTGGTTCTGTTTATATGCTGGATTACGTTTACTGATTTGCGAATGTTGAACCAGCCTTGCATCCCAGGGATGAAGCCCACTTGATCATGGTGGATAAGCTTTTTGATGTGCTGCTGGATTCAGTTTGCCAGTATTTTATTGAAGATTTTTCCATCGATGTTCATCAGGGATATTGGTCTAAAATTCTCTTTTTTTGTTGTGTCTCTGCCAGGCTTTGGTATCAGGATGATGTTGGCCTCATAAAATGAGTTAGGGAGGATTCCCTTTTTTTCTGTTGATTGGAATAGTTTCAGAAGGAATGGTACCAGCTCCTCCTTGTACCTCCGGTAGAATTCGGCTGTGAATCCATCTGGTCCTGGACTTTTTTTGGTTGGT